CTAACTCAGTCGGTACACCCCCCCTGCCCCCCGCCTGAACTGAACTGTGAAAATACAGACCAGGTGCTGAGTTCGAACTCCACTGGAAGAAAAGGAGAAAAAGGAAAAGTTAAAAAACAGTGCAATTCTATACTACGATTCCAAATCGCCATTTGATTTTAATTACCTAGGGACGGCTCAAATTGCAATCAGACTCGCTCTCTTCTCTGCTTCACACACATGCAAACAGATGGCGATTCACAGTTGGCGCAGTGCGCCCACTCAAAGACAGAGATATGGAAATTGCGAACACAGTTCAGATGCCAACTCGCTTCAATAGGCTATAGCTCATCAGCGCCTGTACATCCCAACTCTCTCATTACTGTGTCCAACACCTCTGTTTGCACACACTCGAGGTGACTCGACTCTGGCTCACCCTGAATACCCCACACACAGTCACTCTGTCTCACTAGCACATACACACTAACAGCTATCTCTAACCTATGGCAGCTATCATAATGGCCGCTCGCTACTACTACTATGGCTACGCTATCTTCTTCCAGCCCACTTCAACTTCGGGCGCTCTGCAGACCACCACGCATAAGACGCTGGGGCAGCGCTTCCGCATGGCTTACGCAGTGCATGAATGTATGTTGGACGCTGCCTCTTGATTTATACTTCTGTAACTCGTTGGTCTGCCCCTTTCCACCAGGCCCTTGGTGCACACAGTCCCACAAGGTACTTGCTTTGACTGGACTGCGACTGACTGGGAGTGGTACCGCTGACTGCACGGGGTTGCACTGCCTTGCCTCACTAAACGCGAGACACTTTCGAAAGGCCACTTCCGGACCTTCCGGAAGTCTGTGGACTTTGGCCTTTCGAGGATAGTAGCAGCTTCGACCTTCACCTTTCAGGACTGTAGCAGCTACGACTTTGACCTTTCAGAGCATCTACAGCTACGACCTCTACAGAGCTGTGACCCTTACTTGACAGACCTACAGATCGAACCCCTACAACTACACAGACCTACGACAGACAACAAACAACTACCAAAACACAGGTCTCGGGTTCAAACACTCAAGGGTCGACTCGATACTGTACATGGGTAAGGTGAGGTCTGGGGATCGAACTCTAGGGCCCACATCTGTGACTGCAAAAAGGTGAAAACCGTTTCAAAATGATGAAACCTAAAGGCCGTCAGCCTTTTTTTTTTTTTTTTTTTTTTTT